TTGTATTGTATTGTATTGTATTGTATTGTATTGTATTGTATTGTATTATTATATCATATTATATTAGTGCTCTGGCAGGTATTGGAATTCCTAAACTGAACTATTCATTCAGAAATAACTATTCATTAAGAAATTCTAAACAAGGAAAGTTAATTCTTGTAAACAATAACTTTTACACAAGAAAATGTTTCAACTCCCGACATCTAATCCAAAGTGTTCTTTTTGTTTTTCAGGGAGAGCTGCATCAGATGATTGGATGGTAGATTCCCATGAAGCGTTATTTCTCAACCTGGGCTGGTTTCTGAGGAGTGGACTTCAACTTCCACAATTCCACACCTCAGAAACCAGCCCAAGTTGAGAAACACTGCCACAGCTTCCTTTGAAGACATTGCATTCTCTGCATAACTAGGCCCAGAATCCAAAGCTACACGTTTATGTACTTCTTTGTAGTTTAATTCATAAAATTATGATCTTACATTCCCACTCTGTGCCTAGTGTGGGAGGCAAAAATGCTGACATTCAAAATCTAACATTAATGCCAGACTAGTATAAAATGTGTTACTTAAGTGACATACATTTTTAGAAAAAAGTAAAGATCTTATAGTGCTATATTTATATCAAAGCAGCCTTGTTATTGCCTCTCTGCTCCTATTTGTGCACTAATTATAATAGTCATCTACACAGGCACTTAAATTCATGTAAGCGTATCATCCTTTTAGAAGATACATTAAAATGTTTGCGTTACAATGCATTTTATTAATCAAGTAATAATGACATATTAAAATACCATATTTTGCCTTTTAATGTTATTTTGTGTACCTCTGTCTACCTCTTGGGGCCAAAATGAAAGCAACTTTGTGGAAACATGTAGCAAAAAATAAATGAAAACAAATACTTTGGGTTGCCATCTAGTTCCATATTTGCTCAGGCTTGGTACTAAGGAACTCAACTGACAGAACTTTTGAATAGGCATATATAAGACTGAGTTGTTAATTGTTCAACACTATAGATTTCTTTTCTAAATGTAAACTAATAAATGATTTACATTTCCAAATCCTATAATCAAAATTTTAAGTTTTCCATTACTTGTGCCATCTGCTGAATAAGAGAAAGCTTAAAAATTTATGGCCTTTAAAATGACTGCATTTGTTTGCATTTACAATAAGAACTGCATTTTATTAAATTGTTAAAATGTGAGAATGATATGAATGTAATTAATTTTCAGAACTTAATGGCTAATTCATCATAGCAGCCAGCTTTAAATAGAATAGAAGAATAAATGTAATAAACATGGAAGGGAAACTCTATTTCTATGCTCCTAGATCCTCAATGAATTTCTATTTGAGAATTATCCTTTGAGATAGACGTTTTGAAAACTGATCTATGAACCAGTGCAAATAATCATTCATAAAAGTTTTGTTCCATGCATGTAGAACAGTTGCACACATTACTTATACTGTTATGAGGGGATTTTCCAAACTTTTGCACATATATTTAATCATGTAAATCCAAACAATATCCATAATTTTTACATGTGATTATTTGAATGGATAAGCCAATTTTTTTCCTATACCTGTGTAGGAAAAAATGCAAAAAAGAGACATGATGTTTAGGAATTACAGGAAAGCCAGTTTGGTCTGGTGGTTAAGGACCAAAAGTTTCAAGTCCTGCCTTGGCTATGAAAGCCAGCTGGGTGGGTTTGGGTCAGTCATTGTCTCTCAGCCCAACCCACCTCACAAGGTTGCTGTGGGGAAAACAGAAGGAGGAAGACGTGTTGGATATGTTCTCCACCTTGAGTTATTTGTAAAAATAATAAAGGGGGATGCAAATAAATAAATACTAATATTATTGGAAACAGACTTGGTCAGACTTGAATCTCAGTACTCTAATTGAACTGTATGAGGAGATTCAGGTAATAAAGTGGCGCTCTGAAAGTTCATTCACATATTTGGGGATTATGACATGAAATGTTTTTGCATTCATGAAGATTGAGTATTGCAGTGTTTAACACTACATGCTAAATTTAGCCTTTGAACCCATCAACGTGAGAAGGAAGTACAAATGAGATCATTTAAAGGTCCATTTAGGCATTCAATATTTGGTGCCCAACTGTATTATTTGTTTATATGTGTGTTAAAAGAATATTATGCCTGGTGTATTGAGTTAAGTTTCTATTGCACTTCGTGTATTAGCATAACTGAAAATATTTTGGGATAACTAATACGAGCTCTAGAACTACAGTGAAGTATAAGGCACAGTATTATTTAATCATTAATTAAATTAGTTGGATCATGTCCTTGTTCACAGAAGCTCAACCTTTTGGTCCAAATGTTTGTTTCACTAAGTTACTACAATAAAAAAAAGTTCTCTGTATTAGATTTCAAATACCATATAATGCGTCTAAGTAGAACTGACATATTCAAATAATAACAGGATAATTATAACTACAAAGAATGCTACTGTTGAGAATATCATTTATCAATTCTATGTTCCCCATTATTCATGCATTTTACATGTTGGGAATACAGTAACTTCAAAGAATAATAATCCAGAATGGCTACATTCTTAATCATTCATGCTCACTTAATAAAATATACTAATAATCATAATGAACGGATGGTTATAAAAGTGGAAAAATGTAAAAATTTATTCCAAGGAAAATTAACAGGCTACACAAATAAATTTTGGTAAATGCAACTTTATATTGAAATCCACACATCTGTATCTTAAAGAAGGAAGGATTCACAGACTCAAATGTCTTTCTAAGGTACTAGAAATCATATTATATGCTTTCACAAGTTAAAATTGAAATAATCTGAAACAACTAATACACCAAAAATGTGCAGAAAGTATCAACAAGACTGTGCCCTCAGTAGAATAAATGCTTTACACATTGTGCAAGTTATCTTACTAAGGCTGAGGTCTTCCCATGACAGCTGTCTTAAAAATATAAACACATATAGACTGCCTGTGTTTCGCAGAAAAAACTAGAATGGGCAACACATTTAGAGTGGGAAAAAAATCATATCATCCTAGCAATAGGCATACTGATCTGGGAGAATCATGGGAATAAAAATAGGATTTAAGTGATCTTTCATGCATTCCCAAATGACGGACTAGAGTGACTGATTCATTTTTCTTTACTTATCGGCTAAAATACTGAACAAAATGGAAGATACTAGATAATCCCTTAAGGCAACATGTGGTATATCTCATTAATCTCATTAATGTTGCCTATCTAATCGATATCTAGCTTTTGAAAATATAAAATGGGTCTAACCGATATTAAATCAAATTACATTTTTTAAAAAAAGACATAAAAGGGAAACAGAGAATACAATTATATGCATGTAATATTTCATCCAAAATGAAAGAGTTTTAAACAAAAAAGAATATACTCAGAACACATTAAAAGTCTTTAATTTAAACCAAAGAGGGGAAGAGGGAAAACCTAGAAAACAGAATTGCTTTGGAATGTTCCTCTAAACAAACAAAGGATGAAAATTCAGCACTATATGGCACATCGTTTCCCATCAACTACAGGACTTCAGTCAGTCCCTAGATTTTAGTCTTCAAAAAATAATAATCATATGAAATAGCTGAAAGGTCATCCAGTGCCTAAAATTAGTTTTAACATATTAACCGCATGTCAAAATTAATTAATTCAGATGTCCAATGCTAACCTTTGTGATGGTCTTACTTTACGTCATGGTATATATACAGCATTTTGGGCTGATATATTTAGCACCTGCTACTCTCTGAATCATTACCTAGATTTCAAACCATATTAAAGCATTTTTAGAGCAACGGCTCAGTTCTTTATCCTTAATTACAAACCTCCGCAATGGTCAGCAGGAATAAATTTAATTTCAAAATAGGATTTAATGATGAGCTACTGCAAAGATGGTAGAAGGTTGTTGCCCAAATCCTTACAATTGCTGACATTCCTCTTTTAATGCTGTTCTCTTCCTTCTCCTCTTCTTCTCCTCAAGACATGGCAACAGTAACCCCACAATTGCTCAGTAGAGAAGGGCAGTGTTTTCACAAGACTAAAGATTTTAGAGATGCTCCTTCATATAACACAGTAAGGTTCCCTTGGTAACCTGGATTTTCTGCAGTAAAGAAGGGTTGTGCTGAAACAGCGCCTCAGCTCTCTGTTGGAGAAAATGCACACAAAAGGATTGATTCCAGCTTGGGCAAAACTCATCCAAACAGCGGCTGTTAGAAATCCCCCAGGAACCACAGGACCTCTTGCAAAGACTCTCCAGTAGCAAGCGATCAGATAGGGCCCCCACAAGGTGAGAAAGAGGAATGTCATTATATAGAACATTCTACTGATTCGTTTTTCCATTTTGAACTCATCCAAGACAAGTAGCCTCCTCCTGCTTGTGGTGTTGGCATTTTGCCGGATTCCCAGCAGGGTAGGTGGTGTCGGGCCCCTTCCGAATCCAGCCAGCCAATTTGCAGCCGCTTGACCGCTGGCTCCAGGACCGTGAAATGTCCAGTTCTGGCTCACTGCAGCGACAAACTGAACTGGCTTCATTTTCCTGCGATCGTGAACGAAAAAGATCAGCTTGAGGTAGACAAGCTGCGTGGCTAGAAGGATGAGCGCGAGCAGCAGCATGAATCCCAGCGAATCATTGGCTCTAAAGGAACGATGCTGAAAGGTGCACTGGTCTTCCTCCCTAATAAATGAATACGTCCCCACATCCAATACTGGAGGGAAAGCCATAGCTACAGACAGGGTCCACACCATACAGATCACTGCCAAACAAGTCCAAAAGGACAGTCTTTTTGTATAAAAGCGGTGGTGGGCAATCGCTAAGTATCTGGTGACGCTTATGCAGAACAGCATGAAAGCCGTGTGGAAACAGGACAAAACGCCCAGGAAGGCAATCACTTTGCAAGTGAGGGTCCCGTAGGTCCAAGAGGATCCATTTTTCACAGAAGTGAAAACAAACGGGAAACAAATTGCGGATCTGAGGATATCTGAGCAGCAAAGATCCAAGAGGAAGTAATAAGGAGCTCTATGCAGTGACTTGTCCTTAATAAGCAAAATGGAGATCAGGAGGTTCCCCACTACACTGACTCCTATGATGAATCCCAGAGAAGTCAATTTCAAAAATGCTGTTAAAGGGGAAAGATTTTGCAAAATGTTGTCAGCTGCATGGCTGTAGTTCGCCATAGATGGATGGAAGATTAAGAAGGTTGCCTCAGTCAAGTCTCATAATCTATATATATAGGAATAAGGGAAAAAAATAGATCCATACATCTTCTTGAATGTATTCCAAAAGCAGATCTGACCTGGGGTTTAGTTACATAGCACGTTCTCTTTTCTTCCATCGGATTCGTCATGCCATCAAAATATCTGGAAGAAAAACAAAAACAACAACAAGCCATCAGGCCTTAAGTTAACATACAAATAATGCCAGGATGTGCTAACCCACATGTTAATTTATGGAGAGCCAAAGGAAGTTGCAAGTTGGAGTACTATTATTTGTTTGAGGGAAATTCAGTGAGAACTGCACACCTACTATGCGATGCTTTAGGTTTACTCACAGTCCCTCAGATTGTTTACAGTCAAATCTCTGGGCAGGGTGAGAAACCTGTACTTTCCCTGCTTCCAAACAGCCGGATTCCTACAAGATCATTCCAAGCCCTGTCGACCCCGGTATATATATTGAAAACAAAATGGGAAGGAAGTCTGTCAAATAGCTTTGTCATGCCCACCTTTTCTGTTTACATGATGTGCTTCAAGGCAGATGCTGGGCTGGTATGGAATACATCCAAAAGAAACCCTGCAGAATGTGTCTTTTCTAACTCAGCTTACCAAAGCATATATAATCACACCCCGCTAGTTCATCCACCCTGAAAGAAGACAACGGAAACACAACCTTCCCAGTTGATTTGGGTTCAACCCCCATCCTCAAGACTTGTAAATCAACGCCTGTGCTAAAAGAGTCGACAGCCCCGTGTTTGACGGGCTTTTGTGTCTTTCTTATGATAGGAGGTGGGGAAAATCAAGAGCAATACTGAATATATCCAGGGAGATCGGTCATGTGTGTCTAGGAATCATACCCTCGGCATAACATCTCATTCAGACATTTCCCCACCCAGGTTGCCACAAAAGCCCCAAGATCCATATTTGGACCCGTTGAATCTCAGAACGTGTTTTTGATGCTCTCCCCAAGAGAAACAGTTCCTTGGGCTTAGAATAAAATCTCCCGCTACTCCCAGGGATTTGGGGGGTAGGAGAGCCATCCAAGACGGCGGCAAGGCAAGAGGCGGCTTGTTCTCTTCTTTCCCTGTAGTATTCCCCCCTCCTCCACCTTCTCGGGTTTTTACAACATCGCATCCAAGGAAGGAAGGAAAAAAAAAAAGCCCTTCCACCATTCCACCATCCAGGAATTTCGCCTGCTGTGGCCGCCAGCTAGTGGTCGGTAAACAAGAGGCTCGATCGGATCGCGGCAGCAGCGTTGTTCCAAAAAACAAGACCCATCCCAACGAACGCACAAAAAAGGCTCCCCCCGTCGAAGAAACCCCACCGACCCCGAGAAATATGCTCCCCCCCCCCCCCCCCCCCCCCCCCTCCCCCCCGCCCCCCCGCGGCCCGCCCCTGCGGGGGGGGGGGGGGGGGCTTTGCTTTCTGAGCTCCGGGCTTCACCTGCTGGGGGGGACGCGCCGCCTCTTAAGGGCGGCGAGTTTCCCCCCTTCCATCACCTGATTCCGAATGAACTCCCCCCACCCCACCAAAGAAACCCCCCACCCCCATCGCATTCAAGGATAAGAGGGAGGGGAGCCCCGATCCGGCTGCTCTACGTCGTATCTCTCCCCCCCCCCCCCCC